CCAGCAGCAGCAAGGGCGCTCTGGCTGCTGATGCCTGTGCCGCCTTCAGCCGCTGCCTGCTGCTGCGTTGAGCTGCCGCCGCCGCTGCTGCTGCCGGCCGGCATGCAGTCAGCATGGAACCAGCGTCTGCAGCCATGGCACCTGCTGCCGCGCTTGGGTACTGGGAGTTGATGGTCTCTTGCAGCCGCAGCAGAACACGCAGCGCTCCTGGTACCACTCATCTGCGTGGCCCCTGCAGGACACCCGCATACACATGCAGAACACAGCACTTGATGCACGACAGCCAAACAGGACAAGGGAGACACAGAATCACATTGCAGCATGCATGCTGATGCTTGTTCAGAGGAGACGCAGCTGTGGGTTGCAGCTGGATGGGACAAGCATGGCTGGCAGCGCCGCCCATGCTCTCTGGCCAGGTGCCTGCAAGGCTGCTGATGAGCAGCTTCAAGCACCACTCAGCAGCCCCACCTGCGCTGAGGCACTCTGGCCCGCTCCTCTGCATTGTCTGACAGCAGTGAATGCAGCAGCTCGTCGCTTGTCAGCGCCATGCCCCGGGCGGCTATCCTGCAAGAGCACAGCAATCAGTCATGTGCGCGCCACCACGTGTGGGCAAGTCGTGCCACTGCCGCACACCACCAGCTTGACCTGTTCAGGTAGACCTGATTGTGCTGCCGCAATCGGTCAGTGCTGAGTCGACAACATGCTCATACTCTCATTGCTGCAGTGTTTGTTAAGCTGCTGCAGCAGGCTGTGCTCAGGCTGCCACTGCCAGCACTGCAGTCCTGCGCACCTTGCAGTGGTGGTGCTTGCACTGACTTTTGCCTGGAGGCGCCCATCCACGCAAATGGGGGCGCTGTAGTCCTGCTGGAGGTGCTGAACGACATGGAGGTTGGCGACTGTAGCACTGCCAGTGCATGGGCGCCTGCGCCTGCTGGCACTGAACAGCCAGCAGCACATGAGAAGACCTGCTTGCGTGAAGTGGGCATCTTGTTGATCAGAAATGTGTGAAGAACGGAACTGAGGGGCCACTGCTTAGCAGTGCTAGGGGTGTGCAGCTGTGAGACCTGCTCACTGAGCAGTGCTGGGGAGACAGACGGGTGCGAGTGACAGTCAAATGCCACGAAGCCCGGCGGATGGTAGCTAGCGGCTGGAGCCACGTCATGTTGATCAAACACACAACGTCTGTGAATGAAGTGCTACCGATCGCCGTCACTGCCCCTGAATTGCAGCTCCGCTGCTCATCGTCTGTTCTCCTTGCGAACTTCGTCCCTTGTGATCAGTGCTACGAAGCTTATTGCTCAAGCCACCATTGTTGCGCAGCATCTTTACAAACAATGAGTGCCTTGCATAGAGCTCACTTCACCTGCAGCGCACCAGGAGCAGTAGCAGCGACAGCAGCAGCCTTCTCATCAAGTTTGGATGACAAACAGCTGCAGATGAACGGTATGGGGTAGAAGATGGCAGTTTTTATAAGCTCTTGTAAATGGCGAAAGTGTGGCTCGCTGCATGCGGCGCAGACCAGAGGCTTGCTGCATTGGTGCAGCTAGCTGTTGACATGCATGCTGCAGCTGCAGCCAGAACACGGTCAGGCAATGTATCAAGAGCACAGGAGCTCGTCAGACAGCAACAGCTGACATCAACACCTTCTGATTAGCGTGTAGGTGCCTTGCGTTTTGCGCTGGTTCACAGCACCAGGCGCAGCCCAGCCCCCTTCGCTAGCCTGTCAGTCAGCAGCAGCAAGCATATGCCGGCCAACCCTCTGTTCTCACTCAGCAGGTCAGCAAGGGCTCCTACTGTTAGCTTGCCTTCAACTGAAGTGCAGTGCAACCTGCTGTGCTCACAGCAGCACTATGTTTGCACACTGCAGAGCGACAGTATACCTCAACATGCATGCATGCATGCCTGAGACCTATGCTGCCACTACCAGCATGAGTGATGCACTCAGCTAGTGCTTGATGGAAATTTGAGGTGCTCATACAGTGCTGCTGCCACACGCAAATGTTGCTGGACGGTACATCTGCCAACGAAATTTACCCAGCTCAAACAGAAGTGCCAGCTGGTACGTGACATGCTCCCAGCAGCAGCGCAGCAGCAGCAGTCATACATCAAGCAGCGGTGTCGGCAATCTTTCTCTGCTTGTGTTGCTACTTGTGCCACTGACAAGCTCAGCCCATCTCATTTGTCACCTGACACAGGTTGACCGACTCTGGCACGGCGCCTGGCAGCAGCAGCGAAGACGTCACAGGCGCACACGGCAGCAGCAGCGGCGACGACGGCTATGAGTCCGACTCCGACAGCAGCTACTACGGCAGTGATTTTGAGTTGGACAAGGTCAACTGCCAGCTGTGCAGGCAGCCGCTGTCGCGCAAGCCTCGCAGAGGGCTGCTGGGCAGGCGGCGCAAGGCACACGGCTCCAGCCACTTCATGGTGTGCGACTGCTGCCAGCGCGCATACCACGAGGACTGCTGCAGGTGCGGGGCGGGTGTTCCGCGACGCTGTTCAAACACCAAGGCATGCGCAGGCTGGACAATGCTTCTTGTTGGTGTGACTGCCTCAATCAGCACCCTTCAGCTCCGCTGGAGTTCGCCTGCCAGCACCGGTATTGGGTAGTGTGTGGCACGGCAGTGACCTGCGCCAACTGGTGCGCTGCCCTGTAGTTAGATAGGCCCTCAGGTGCTCGCAGCCGCAAGCTGCTGCGTGCACCGCCAGTGGTGGCAGCTGGCAGCCTCACCACAGTGCGCAACGGCGTGCTTGGCGTGCCTCCCCATGCAGCTGGCTGCTGTTGTGCAGGGAGCGCAAGATCAGCACAAAGGAGGCCAAGGACGGCACCTGGTACCACAGCAGCAGCTGCAAGGAGTGCCAGGAGGGTCTGCAGCAGCAGGTGCGCAACGCATGCGGGGCAGCAGCGATGCTGCATGCGGCTGCAGTGCCGTGTTGCTGTGTTTGTCAGCCACGGCAGCCAACTTGCTGCTGGTGACGTGTGCTGTGCTGCTGTCCTTCCTGCAGGCCAGCAAAGGGCCCATCGCCCTTCCTGAAGGCAGGAGTTGGCAGCTGATTGACTGCTCAGTGAGTGGGACCTGGTGCTGTGACAAACAATAGCTGTGCTTGTGGCTTGCCGAACTGATCTCCATCAGCCTCAGCGCTGCGCTGAAACTCTTGATGCTGTTGGCGTTGTGCGGTCTGCAGCAGACATGTTGCTGAGCTTGGATGCTCAACCCTTTTTGCTGCTGTTGCGCGCAATGCTGTCAGCATGTGCATGCACAGGACAGTGTGCAGTTCAGCAGGTGCCTTACCCCTGCTTGAAACCCTGCACACACCGTGGAGACCTGGTGCTGTACTCTGCATGTTCCTGCAGCCTGTGAGCCCCAGTTCGGGCCTGGCCGGTTCCAGTGCACTGTCCGCGCTGAAGCGCAGCCTGGGCGGTGTGCTGGAGGTGCTGCTGCCTGCTTACGGGCCTGGCGTTGCACAGCAGCTGGTGGACACCAGCAAGGGCTATGCGGTGCTGCTGAGCCAGCAGGCGCGGCCCGTCACCGCCGGGCTGCTGGACGTGTACGGCCAGGTGAGGCGGCCGCCTGCAGCGTGGCATGCCTGTCCATAGCTTGCGCACATCCAGGTACTTGAGAGGGAGTCTGTGCCTACAGCTGCAATTGTGTTGAAGGGAGGGGTCTCTGGCACAGCAGGTCCCAACCGGTGTGCAAACAATTGCCACGATGACAGGGGGCGTTGCTTCAGTTGCGCACCTCGTCAAATTGCTTCAGTTGCGCACGTCGTCAAATTCCTATTCCAAAAGTTGCATGCTGGCAGTGTATGAATGCCGCTGAAACTGCAATGCACTTCATGCGTGCCATACTGCCTTTGCAGGAATGCGCTGTGCTTGACCTGGTAGCAACGCAGATGGCGGAGCAGGGCAAGGGCCACTGCTGCGCCATGCTGCAGGCCCTGGAGGGCTGGCTGGGGCCACAGCTGGGCGTGGCCAGCCTCATCGCAGTGTGCCCTGCAGATGTAAGAGCCGCTGCGTGACTGGGCTATGGAAACCTGGTGTGCGCTGCCTGTTGTGCGCAAACCTGGTGTTTGTTTTCAGCTGAATGCACCAAGCCCTGTAAACTCTTGCACGCATGCAGATGCTGCACACGATTATGCTGCAGTCAGCAGCACAATAGGAGGTGCTGCCATGCACAGCACGACGCGGGTTTACACTGGTGTCATCGCACGGCTACGCTGCAATGGACGCATGGGTCCGCACGACGCTGCTGTGCATCATGCACACCCGGTGCCTCCAGTGCATGGTGATTACGTTGCAAAATACGCCACGGCCGCAAAGCCGTTGGCCCCACGCTACCCAACTGCTTTGTGTGCCTGCGCACCATTAAATGCTTTCTTGTACTGTCACCACATGTCAAGATGGTCCTGGCTTCACCAAGCTGTTGCTCCTGCTGTGCTGTTGCTCCTGCTGTGCTGTTGCTCCTGCTGCTGTGCGCAGGAGCCTGAGAGCATCAGGGCCTGGCAGCACAAGTTTGGGTTCACGCAGGTGAAGCAGCAACACCTGCGTCAATTGTTAGCTGATGTGCCGCCCCTCAACTATTATGAGGAGTCGGTGCTACTGAGCAAGCAACTGCCCAAGCAGCAGCAGCAGCAGCAGCAGCAGCAGCAACCACAAGAGCTGTTGCCCCAACAGGAGGTGCCAGAGGGGGCAGCAGCTAGGCCATCATAGCTTTTGTTGCATGGTGCCGTGCCTGTTTGCAGGGTGTTAATCATGGAAACGTTGTCTGTACAAAGGTGATATGGTATTCAATCAAAAATGTAATGCAAGTTCATGTCCTTGCCCCTCAGACCCTGCATGGTGCATTTTCTGCTGTGCACAGCCGTTTGTGGCTTCACTGTGCCTGCGGGCATCAGCATTCAACGGACAGCATGAGCACTCCACATGTACGCGTGTAGCGGATGTGCGTGGCCGTGGTGACAGCAAGCTGATCGGTCCATGGACAAAAACGTTTGGCTTCAGGGCCCACCGCGGTTCGAACGCGGGACCTAGCGCTCTGCAGGCGCTTGCTCTACCACTGAGCTATAAACCCGTCTAGGCATCTGCCGAAGTGAAGGCAGCGCATGGGACTCCTCTGGACCAGCCGTATGCCCGCCGCCACGGCGTTAACACTGATATACGCCAAATTGTTATTTTTGCAGCTCCTTCCGGGCGAATTTTGTCTATAGAATTCTACAATCAATAGAATTCTACACTGCGTGTTGTGAGTCTGACGGTTCTGCCTGCAGAGCCACGTGTCATGTCTCGCGCACAGAGGCTTTCTCGGGGTGGGCCTCTTTTGGGTGACAGTCTGTTTTTCCGCTGAACTTCTAGCAGCTCTCTTTGTTTTCGGGTGTTCGTTGCGACGTAGTCGCCTGTGCACGCCATGTAACCCCTCTTCTTCTTCAGGGCGAATTTTGTTTTTAGGTTAGTCACGCTGCTTGTCCGAATAGAATTCTACACTGCGTGTTGTGAGTCTGACGGTTCTGCCTGCAGAGCCACGTGTCATGTCTCGCACACAGAGGCTTTCTCGGGGTGGGCCTCTTTTGGGTGACAGTCTGTTTTCCCGCTGAACTTCTAGCAGATCTTTTTGTTTCGGGTGTTCGTTGCGACGTAGTCGCCTGTGCACACCATGTAACCCCTCTTCTGACCTTCGGCGAATTTTGTCCCGCATGGTCTGTTGGATGGGGTTATCTTGCCTGTGCTGAAACCAGGCGGGGATGTCGCTGACCCAGCTGCATATTGGCCGATACAATTGCTTAACTATGACTATCGCCTTCTAGCCAAATTGCTTGCCAATCGGCTTTTGGCAGTGGCAGGTGATATTGTGCACCCTGCACAATCAGCATTTCTGCAGCACCGGCATATTGGTGATAGCATCAGGCTGCTGCAGGCGCTGCCTGCCTTGCTCACTGCAGAGCAACGTATGGCTATTGTTGTCTTTACTGATTTTGCCAAAGCCTACGACACTGTGGATAGATCACTACTGTATGATGTAGCAACAGCGCTTGGGGCCGGACATGGGTTTGTCGGTTGGATGCGCACGCTGCTAACTGATACGCACACATGCGCCACAGTGAATGGTTTTGGCAGTCCTTTTTACCGTTGCGAGGCTGGAGTTCGACAGGGGTGTCCTTTGGCACCTCTGTTATACCTGTTTGTTGGGCAGGCGCTACTGTGCTTCTTGAAGCAGCGCGGCATTGGCATTGTTGCAGCCAGCCAACAGCTTGCGGCGACGCAGTATGCTGACGATGCTGAGGTGTTTTTGCTGTCGCTTGCCGATGTGCCCACGTTCCTCGGTTGCATGGATGATTTTGCTGCAGCCTCTGGTCAGCGACTGAACCCCGCAAAATCACGTCTGCTGCATGTAGGGCAGCTGCCAGGAGCGGCGGCTGCAACGAGTGGAGCGGGGCAGAACTTGGGTGCCATGCCACTGGTGCAGCAAGCGAAATCTTTGGGGGTCGTGTTTGATGGGCGGGGCAACAGCAGTGTGGACTGGGAGGGCAGATTGGAGGTGGTGCGAAGCCGCATGCAGAACGTAAGTCGCACTCCAAGTTGTCCGCTTTTGGCAGGGCGTTTGCGGCCAATGCTTACGCCTTGTCGACCCTTCTGTATGCTGCTCAGTTCGCTGGTCAACTGCCTGCTACAGTGACGGACAATTTGACGCGGTGGACAGCAGCGCTAGTTGATGCTGGCAAGGGCCCTGATGAGGATCTGCGGCGGGCCCCTGGTATCCCAAGCGATTGTATGGCAGCCCATCCTAAGTGTGGTGGTTTTGGTTTGATGCCAATTCAGCATCACCTGTTGTCGCGTTGGGCCTGTGAAGCTCTGCCTTTCCTGCAAGGTGGCACTGCACCTTGGGTGGCTGTGGCGCGCGTTCTTTGGACGCGCTGGGCCAGTACGATGGATTGTTTTACGCGCGCCACAGCTAGCAGCCCTTGGGGCATATTGTTATGTCATCGAAGTCATATTTTCCCTGTTGCCCAGGCTGATGTGGTCCTGCCCAAGCCGTTGCGGGTTTTGGCTATGGGTTTGCGCGCTTTGCCGCCGTTGCGGCATGTGGGCAGCCAGCCTTTGGATGTGGATGGTTTGTGCTGGGACGCGCCACTATGGGCTAACCCTATTTTTACGGCGGTACAAACTTGGCAGTGGTTCGACCAACAGCGTGAGGTGGTAGTGGGCTTGGAGCATGCGGTGGCGTTTGGCCTGCTGCAGCTCCCAAAGCTGCAGTCTCTGGGCCAGGCGGTGGTGTTGTTGGCAGAGCTGGACCGAGTTTGTGCTCTCCCTGGGCTCTCGGCACAACGCTCAGCCTATGAGCGTGAGGTGTGGGGCCCTTGGTTGTGCAGTAGGCCGCAGTATGGTGACCGTCAGCTGGCCCGCCAGCATGTGCACGCCCTGCTGACATTGGTGCCAGCTGCATGGGTTGCTGCTGCGCGGGCGCGTTTCACCGCGGCTGTTGCTGCGGGTGAGCCCATTGCGCAGTTATCTTCTTTACTCCCAGATGACCTCTTGCTAGCGCGGGAGACGATGTGTGCGAGCTTGGGCTGGCGGCGACCAGGTGGCGGTGTTGATGATGTGTTATTGAAGGACCTGACTGTCGCTGCTGCCATGCAGCTGCAAAGCCTCCGTGCGTTAGAAGCAATTGCTCCCCGTCATGCAGCTTTTGTTGCTAGTGTTAGAGCCCTGGATGGGTTGCCAGCCGTGGCACAGTTGCCGCCGGTGCGACTGGTTTTGTCACGGTGGTGGTGCGTGCGGGTGGCTAACGTGTACAAAGAGTCTGCATGGCGCCTGGCCCTGAATGCATTCCCTACTGCTCAGCGTATGCAGACTGCCACGGGATGCGCGGCGTGCTCTGCTGCTGTGCCGGGTGTGGAGCACCATTTCTGGACGTGTCCTGTTGCAGTTGCTGTGCGTGAAGAGGTTGAAGGTCAGCTAAGAGCGTTCAACATGTTGCCGGCAGGTGAGAGCCTGCCGTGTCGTGCGGTGTGGCTGGCTTGCTCCCCTCGTCACAATGTGCACCGACTGGTGTGGGATATGGTCTGCCTGGCATCTATACATGCGTTTGAAAAAGGCCGCAGAGCGGCCTGGGCTGTGGCAAGTGATCTTGTGGTGCCTGTGCTGGTGGAGCAGGTGGCGGTACGTGCGGCACTTGGTGCTTTTTGGGATGCGCTTGCTGATTTTGCCGCTACGGCCAGAGTGCCGCGGCGGTGCAAGAACCAGCTGTTGACCCGGCAGCCGTTTATCTCTTGGCACACTGTGTTGCGGGGTAATGGTCTGCGTGTGGTACGGCGGTGATAGCCACCAATTTGCATGTATTCATGCCCGTTTGCTTTCTGTCAAGCCTGAGACTGGTGGTCCTGCGCTGCCAGAGCTGTACGGTTTGTGGTGCGGCTGCTGCAATATGCAGTTGCTGTATTGCCCCTGCAGCAGCTGCCAGGTACTCTGCTCCTTCCCCCCTTGTTTGCTGCCTCGGACCAAGGTATTGACCTTTACTGGCCAACTTTGTCCCGTTGAGTTCAGCCCGCCCGCTGTACTGCACAAGTATGGCCTGCTGTCACCGACACTGTTTTAGGTTAGTCATGCTGCTTGTCCCAATAGAATTCTACACTGCGTGTTGTGAGCCCGACGGTTCTGCCTGCAGAGCCACGTGTCGTGTCTCGCGCACAGAGGCTTTCTTGGGGTGGGCCTCTTTTGGGTGACAGTCTGTTTTTCCGCTGAACTTCTAGCAGCTCTCTTTGTTTTCGGGTGTTCGTTGCGACGTAGTCGCCTGTGCACGCCATGTAACCCCTCTTCTTCTTCAGGGCGAATTTTGTTTTTAGGTTAGTCACGCTGCTTGTCCGAATAGAATTCTACACTGCGTGTTGTGAGTCTGACGGTTCTGCCTGCAGAGCCACGTGTCATGTCTCGCACACAGAGGCTTTCTCGGGGTGGGCCTCTTTTGGGTGACAGTCTGTTTTCCCGCTGAACTTCTAGCAGATCTTTTTGTTTCGGGTGTTCGTTGCGACGTAGTCGCCTGTGCACACCATGTAACCCCTCTTCTTCTTCTTCTGGCGAACTTTGTTTGTGGGGGCACTGCATGCTGTTGAGATATGCGCCATGATAAACCCTCAGCAGCTGGCCAGCTTTCAGCCGTTTCTTTCCTTATTGCTGCCTTGAGTCTGATCTGCTCTTGAGTCAGCGTCATACTCAGCAGCTCAGCCCGCTTCCTGTACTGCAACATGTGTAGATTGCTGTCACTGACACTGCTTAGACTACTGCTTGCATGCACATGTACTTCCAAAGCAAACAACATATGCGTGTGAAGGGGACGACGGGTCGTGCTTAGCACGGCCAATGTCTAGCCCCACACACAGAGGCTCACCTGGGGGTTGAGCCTTCTTGAGTGACAGCCTGAGTTGAGCTGCTCGCAGTGTTCCAGGTGTCCGGACACAACGGATCCGTTGTGGCGTAGCCGCTTGAGCACACCGTGTAACCCCTCCAATTTTATTTGGGCGAATCTTTCTTGCCCCACACACATAGGCTTTCCTGGGGGGTTGAGCCTCCTTGAGTGACAGTCTGAGTTGGGCTGCTCGCAGCTCCCTTCTTTTTTCCAGGTGTCCGTTGTGGCGTAGCAGCCTGAGCACACCGTGTAACCCCTCAAATTTGGGCGAAATCTTCAACAAAACCATGCACACGTGCTGCCAGCAGCAGCCCTTGGGGGCTGTTGTTGTGTGGCCGTCATCGTCTATTTCCGTCTGGCTATACGGATGTGCATCTGCCTTCAGCTTTGCATGCGTTGGTGCTGGGGTTGGGGGCTCTGCCGCCGCTTTGCCTCGTTGGCACAGAAGCATTGGATGCTGAAGAGTTGTGTTGGCACACGCCGCTGTGGGCCAATTCCATTTTTACTGCACCACAGGACTGGGAGTGGTTTGGACAGCAACGTACTAGTAGGGTTGTTGTTGGCTTGGAGAATGTGGTTGCATCTGGGCTACTGCAGCTGCCCAAGCTGCAGCAGTCTCTCGGCCAGGCTGTGGTGCTGTCTTCTGAGCTGGACAGAGTGTGTGCCTTGACTGG